CTTCATGCAGAACCAGAGTTAACACCGGGATGTCTATGAGAAGGTCATGTCCAGAAAAAGCTTTCCCCTTCCAGCAGGGACTTTTCAGAAAAAAAAAAAGTCCACGATCATATTTCTGTACCCTGGGAAGCTGTCCTGGAATCTAAGAGGCCATTTAGTGTCAAGTTCGGCAGCACCAAGCATCACATAAAGGAGATACTGTTTAGGCTCGATAGACTTAAGTCTGAATTGTCCACAATGCCTGGATAATTCAAAGCACGCAGGTGCTCCCAACAAGGCTCTGGTCTCTTTGCTTTGGCAAAAGTTGATCTCAAGCTGCCTGAAGCCAGAGACTCCAGGCAAAGGCCTTCTGGTGAGTGCTTCGCAAAGGAATCCAATCAGGTTTGTCATCTCAGATCTCCACAAAGCCAGAGGTGTCAGCCTTCACTGGCCAAAAAAGTGTTTGTCAGAGGCAGGGTGTGATTTTCTGCTGATAAAGCCAGTTGCCACCACACAGAGGTTCTGAGATTGTCAACTGTTTCTAACGGCCCTGTTGGTCTCTAATGATTACATATTTTTGCACACGGTGTGCTTGGCTGCTGTTGTTTTTTCAGAAGTCAGTTCTCAGAATGCAGACAGCATGTGCTCTACTTGGGGGACCACAGTGTGAGCTCAGACTGCTTCCTGGATCGGGTACCCCCCACCAGAGAAATCTCTACATGCTGACTGGCTGCCTGCCTGGGGTTCTGACATGGCCTCAGGCCTGGGAAAGGATGGCGGTTGTACAGGAATGTGAGTCACTGAGTTAGCTTGTCCCCAGCCCAGGCTTTTCCATTTTAGTTATAGACATTCAGATAGACATTTAGGGGCATGCTTTTGGATGGGCCAAAAGGCATGGGCCTTTTAATGCATGGATTAATGTCTCAGAGTTAACACAGTTTATGCCCTCATCACCCGGACTAAATCACCTAAAGACTGAGTTTGCTGGGGAGAAATCTGGACTTGGAGTTTGAATTCTCTTCAGCCAGTTAGACAGTGAATGAAAGAGGAAGTGTGCCTGTTTAGCAAGAAGGAGAAAATATTGGCCCAGTTTATTCATTCTGTGTGCTGACTCTGGGCTGAGCATTAGGTTAGTCAGAGGACAGAAGGAAGAACCTCACCCTTGTGGCCCTGACAGTCAGGTGGGAGATGCAGACAATACTCAGCAAACCTGAGTTAACTATTGATGAAATTAGGTGATAGGTGGAAAACAAGCAAGTCAGAGTAAGCAGGATGCAGGGAAGGGGTGGGCTGGGGAGGTGGGTGGGTTAATATGTGTTTGGTGGGACTGGCGGACATGTTTGTGAGTCATGTTCTGAGTCATGCATGGCTCAAATACCTAGAACATTTTTAGGTCTATGACAATGATGCAAATGATAATAGATCACTGCTGTCTCCCAAGGCCGGACATCTCATTAGTTCTGCAAGGCTGCCCTGGATCTTCAAACCTCTAAGGCAAAGTACCTGACTTGGGTTCTTGGCCTTGACTTTAGCCAACATCTGCTTCGTCCTTGCAGTGGGATATACTTCAAAAATATTGCTCTTCATTGCTACAGTTAGTAGATGTTGCCAGTGTCCACAGAGCATATTTGCTAAATCCCTCAGTAAATGGACCAGGAATGTCCATTGTAGATCCAGGTACTGGTGGTGAGATTTTCTATGCAAACAGATGGGAATAGGTGGAGGCTGATGGCCTTTGTAGCCCTGAATCACACTCTGTTCCAAGACCTTGGTCATTGGCTCATGACATGGTCTCTGCTGTCATCACTGCCAACTTCACAGTGAGAGCACAGAGGATTGAATAAGGGCAGGCAGTCTCTGATTCTGTCCCTTATTTTTCACCAATCAGGTCTGAAGGTTGGTTGGAATCTTGCAAGTCCTCAGGCTGAGGAAAGCCTATGAGAGAATTATGTCCACATCTCCCAGCCTTGCACAGGCCCCAAGGTCTCCCAGGAAATGTGGGAGCTGCAGAATGTTTCTTTAATAAAGTGTAAGCCTCAACCCATGATCATATACTTAGGGTCACAAAGAAACCCAATCATGACCTGCCTCTCTGTTGTTAGAGGGAATTCACTGTGCATCCTCTAACTCATATTCCTGCTCTGTGTCTGGAGCTAGAATAGAAGAATAGAAGGAAGAGTTGATAAGAAGACACTGGTAACTTTAGCCATGCCTATAATCTGGGTAAGAAATGATTCTTTTGAGTGGATATAGTGTAGGTTTCAGACAAAAGGGAAGTCTTCATTTGGAGTAACAATGAGTAGAAACCATGGAGTAGAAAAATTGACCAGAAAACAATGAGACAGATTTTTTTTAGTGGAGTAAGTCAGGAGTTAAGTCAGAACTTCAAATGACATACACCAGTTCCTGGAACTTGGTGGCTTCTTTTTGCCTGAATAGGTCACTTTCTACTCTACTTTCCGTTCCACTCCTTCTAGAATCACCTCCTTCCCTCAGGCTCTGTGATCCACCCTTCACCACACGTCATTCCTCCCCACAGCCTATTGCCAAGGCATTGCAGCCTTCCCAGAAACTTCTCTTGGTTTCCACAGCTTGTAACCCAAGGTCACTGGGCTTGCTTAAGTGCCATGGAGCTGGCCTTGAACATGGATTTGGCCTCCGGTCTGGTGTCCACTGTCTCCCCACCAGTCATGCAGTTCCACCCAAGGCAGTCCCCAGACTACAATTTCAAATCTCGCCACCACTTCTGCCTGGGGCCTTCCTCTCCAGAGAGGTCTTCCTCTGGTCCCATGGCCCTCATGAAAGTGTCTGGTTCTGATTATTCTCACCTCTCCCTCCTTAGCCTCCACAGTACTTAATATTCCCATCACTCCTTGGCACATGATCCATATTTCCTCATAATCTTAGTTAACTTCTCCTATTTAAATGCAAGGCCAGGGACCATGTCTCATATACTTCTCATATCCTCTATGGCCAAGCACACAATGCGATATGGAAGTCACCCCCAAGTAGATGGAGGCCTGACCAGAATCTCCCCCACCCCAAGGAAAGATCCTTAGCCGGCAGATCTTCCTTTGCCAATCCAGCCCTATACACACTGCTGACTCCTCCCTGCAATGCCCAGAAATGCCTGCGAGATGTTTCAGCCTCCTTCCAAGCTTGTAGATAAGTCAGGATTATTTTGGTTGTTTGTTTTTAAGCAAAGAGAATTTATTTGCAGGAGAAAATTGTGTATGGTGGAGGGAGTCAGGTTAACAATAAAAACAGTGACTTAAATTGAGCTTTGCTTCTTTTGTCCCCATTCCTGCCCTTCCCCCACCCCCACCTCCACCCCCTCAATTTCTGTTTTGCTTTTCATGCCAATTGCTAAAGACTGTAATTTAAAGAAGGCACTGGCTTTTCCAGAGTCAGAGGAATGTGCATCCGCACGTGGATTTTTCCACAAGAAAATGGTCTCTGTCTTTTGCTTCCCCTTACCCAGAAACAATGAGAATGGGCCATCGGAGGAGCCTGTCCATCTTTGCAGCTCTTCTTCTAATTTGCCTGAGAGGCTCTGAAGGGGCAGAGGGACTGGTTTGTGTTTCACCCTGTTAGGCTGGCGTTTGATGAGGTTTGTGCTCCATTTGTTCGGATGGTTTTTATGGTTTCTTTGTTGTTCGTGGAAAGACTTTGAAAGGCTTTATCCTTAAGCTCTTCTGCTATTCCTGCTCTGCAGCTTGATGGGACTCACACCAGGGAAAGGAAAAGAGGACACTCCCAGTCTGTTTCTGTCGTTAAGCCATCTCTGTACATGCTTATGGAGACATGTGGGTTCTTACAAGAAACAAGTTGGGATTGCAAATGTTGGAGTCCAGTGGATTATCCTCCAGAATCATGTGGAAGCAGCTCAGATTCCTACCAAGACTGAAGCAGGCTCAGATTCTCTCCCTTCCTTTGTCTCGTCTTCCTCTCCTCTGCTCTTTGCTCTTCGGTCACTAAGCCCAGTCTTCTTCACCATCAGTAAGATCATATGAGAGGCTTGGGTAAGCCAGAATATGCTCCTGCCTCTGAGATGTCGCCCATAATATCAGTGTGTTGAAACAGGGGCTGGAGTTGGCCTCCAGGAGCACAAGGGACTGGGCTTTGAGACGTTGTCTCCGTGGAATCTTCCTTCAGTTTGGACATGGCCCATCTTTTCAGGGTTGCTAAAGACATAGTTACAGACCTTTTTTTTTTTTTCTAAACTTGTATTCGTTTATAGTTACAGACACCTTTATAAGATGCTCACAGGAATCATCTCATTTGATTATTACCTGTCTTGCTAATTTGGGCTGCTGTAAAAAAGTACTGTAGAATGATGATTTATAAACAACAGAAATGTATTGCTTGTCATTCTGGAGGCTGGGTAGTCCATGACGAGTTTGCCAGCTTGGTCAGGTTCTGGTGAGAGCTCTGGATTAGAGACTGATGACTCTTCTTGTACCTCCACATGGCAAGACAAAGGCAAACAAGCTCTAGAAAGATTCTAATTCTGCCACGGTTCCAGCCCCATGACCTAATCTCCTTATAAAGACCCCACCTGCCAATACTATTGCCTTGGGAATTAGATATGAATGTATAGATTAGGGGAAAGAGGCTCTGAAAATATTCTATTAATCTAATTAGTACAGCCTCAGATAGTAAATAAATTGTGCATTTCTATTTCTGCATGAAAGAGTGTTAAAGCTCAAAGGGAAGTTTTATGATTCATCCAAGATTCCACAGCAAATAATGCCAAGGACAGAACCAACTGGAACCAACCTCCTGACTTCAAGCTCAGAGCTCTTCCCTCTGCCTATAACCTTGGCTCCCAGAGAGAGTAAAACATTCCTGCCACTCACCCCATTCTTACTCCAGAGTAAGGGTACACATTTGGAACTGGATGATGCTTGTGAAGTTATTGCTGAAATAATTTAATGTTTCCTGACCACTGAAAGATCATTTCTATGCAACCTTTCTGAAAAGCAAGGGATAGTGATGAATCTCTCTTTGTTGTTTTCCAGACCCTTCTTATGACTCAGTCAGGAGAGGAGGATGGGGAAATAACATGAATTCTGGCCTCAACAAAAGTAAGTAAATGTTATATCCTTCTTTGAGAAGAAAGCATTTTTCTGAGGACAGAGGTAGAAAGCAGGGTCATGAGATAAAGAAAGGCAGGACATCAAAAGGAAGAATGGATACCAGACTTACTTGCAAGTTTGTGCCTGTTAGTTCTTGAAAGATAATAGTCAAGGATTTTTGTTCAGACCTTTGTTTCATTGCATTTGGTTTTAGAATTTTTGAAGTTGGAAGGTGTCTCTGGATAAAACTCTGTGTCCATGAAAGGTCACTGAATTTAGTGTCTACCATTTCTATCACCATATGAGCCTCTGTAACTTGTTCCTCTCATTGCCTGGGCTGAATCATACCAGTGTCTCACTCCCCTTCCATGAAAGGCTGATATTGTACAACTGATAAGGAGGTGAAAGAGGTCCTCTCAGACCCCTATCAATTAGTGTTGGGATCTGGCCCATCATCTCCCATGAAGGCAGCAGGGAAAGAGAATGATTTATCAACTAAACCAGATGTGTCAATCTTGCTGCCTCTTGGAAGTAAAATATCAAGCACATGAATGAGTGATGAAGGGAAGCCTTTCAATAAAGAGGTTGAAATTTACAAATAATGGCCAAGCAACATCCAGGTTCCTTTCAATATTATGTATTAATTGTTTACTCTGGGCCCAGCAGCTGGCATTATGGGATTCACCAGGAATAAATGGAACAGACTAGTCTCTCAAATAGGGCAGAAGAAACATGCCATACACAGAACTCTTTTCATCTAGGTGGTATCAAGGAAGGCTTTGTGGACCTGGGCCCATTGGAGTTGGTTCTAGAAGGAAGGGCAGGATTTAGAACTCACAGGTAAACAGACCTCCCAGGAGAGGTGAGCACCAAAAAACAACATCAAGGTTGACATTGTCTGACAGCCAGTGAGGATGCTGGGTCCCTGGAGTTTATGGTTCCTGGAGGGAAAGAAATCTAGAAAGCTAACAGAGGGTACTATGAAAATAGACCTTAATTCTTTAGGCAGTAAGGAGTCACTAAGGTTTTGTGATGGTGGAATGAAATGGTTTAGGGAGATTAAACTGACTAAATAGCATATGATGGATCTGTGGGAAGAGAGAGAAGTTAGGGGGGTACCAGCAAGTCATAGATGGTGCCAGAAGCAATGCAGATCTAAAACAGAAGAGGAAAGGGTGTGTGAGAGAGAGCTACCGTGGACGAGCACTCATATGTCATGGGAACACAGGTGACTTCAGCTCAAGTGACACCTTCTCATTAAGAATCTCTAAATTCTTTATAAAAATTAAATTCAGATACCTGATACCATTAGACATGCTACACTGTATATTCTTTGCTGTTTGTCGTTATCTCGGTCACCAAAATATATGTTCTGTTGCAAGTCACTTGTTCATGGTTGAATCTCAAGCATTCAGAGCAGTGTTAACACATTGTAGATTCTAGATAAATATTTATAAAATAAAATGCATGAATGAATGAGCAGAGTGAGTGAATGAATGAACTACTGAGAAAGTACATTTGTGCTGCTTCTGGAAAAGCTATTTGTCTCTCTTCCCGCTTACTGTATTTTGCTTCTCTTGCCATAGGCCCCCCACTTGCAGGAGCACAAACAATGAATAAGAATACTGAACAGCGACCCCAGCCAGGTACTGTCCCTGAGATCTGAAAACTCCTCCTTTGTTTTTTATGCAGTTGTTGATTGTGTGGTCAACAGAAGAGGATTTTTAACAAAGTGCTACATTTGCCATCACTTTTCTCTTTCTCAGAGGTTCTATATTTGACTTTGCAATCTACCTGTGAATAAGTAAGAGGCACTGGCATTAGGTAGAAACTTGTTAAATAGCAAAAGTGAAAGAACTTAGAAATTAAATGTTCCAGTGTCACATGTTATAAAATAGAGAAACCAAAGCTCAGAGAGGTGAAGTGATTGGCTAAAAGCCAAACTACTGGTTTTTGAAGGGAATAAAGGTATTTGTTTCCAAGTTGCTGTCCAAATCTTGCATGTTTCACCGTACTTTAAATACCTTCATCCTGTGATAGATATACTTAACAATTAAGGCAGAAGAATTTCTGAATGCGTGCAATTGGAGACTTTTAAACTGAGAGACACTTAGGTCTATAATATCCCAGTCTTATAATGACCTCTCTTTTACTTCAATAGTAACAGTAACAGGGAGTTCATTATCTAGTTAGACTCAATCCCACTATTTGAGCCAAAGCCTCCCTCCCTATAACTTCCAGTCCAGCTTCTTCATTTTTCATATGGAGAAGTCTTCACCCCACTCTACATAAAGGCCCTTTATATACCTGAAGACAGCTGTTTTCCCCACTCCCAAATTCAATTCTGCCTTAATGCTAAAGACAAAGCACTAAAAATTGACCTACTTTTCATCAGGAAGATTAAGAAAGAACTTGCTAACTAAGAAACACAAACCAGACAAAGAGGGTTCAGAGAGGGATCAAAAGAATCCCCAAGAACAAAATTAGGCATAAGACATCAAAAATATTTCAAATTTTCATTCTGCCTGGAAATGAAGGGGTAGAATAAATGGCCTTAGGATACTTCCAATTAATTTATGGTTCTAAGTAGAAATCCAAAATCATGTTGACTTTTCAAAAGCTCAATTATGGCTGTAAAAATAATAAAATTGTACAAAACATTTCTTCACCTGAAAAAAAGAAGACAAATCTCACATAAGCCAATATTCAATTTTTTTATGGCTAAATAACCATATAAATTTAAAGTAAGTCGAGATTTTAAGAATAGTCATTTTATAGCTAAAATAGGAATTTGGGTTAGTGTTGACATTTCCAGGCTTCAAATCACAAAATGTTCTAGAAGGGACCAGTGGAATGTTGAAGCTCAAGCCACTTATTTTGGAGATGAGAAAACGGATACCCAGATATTGTCCAATGAGCTATTCAGTTTATGATAACACTGGGGCTAGGCCCCAGGCTACTTGGTTGATTCCTGACATTCTTTTTTTAATGCCCTATCAGAAAAACAGAGCTTTGTAAAGTTGTTAGTAATAGGTAGAGCTATGAAATTGTTAGACCTCTTTTACGTCCATTTAAAAGGATGCCTTCACCTTATTCGTTGGGATTTAATGTTAACCAGTTCTTCTTCAAGTGGTCTTACAACAGTGTCTTACAAAGTAACAGCATTATTTACAAGTTTTAGATACAAAATATGGGTAAAAAATGATTCTATGACTATTCTTTGTTGTTTTTGTAATTCTGGGGTGAAGACCAAAACTATGATCAAAATCTTTGATGGCTGCACATTAACCAGTAAAGTTTTCTAAAATCATATTTACCTGTGATATTTCTATCAGGTTATTCTTATTTCTAATGCTGTTGTTTTTACATTTTTTATAACATTGAACCAAATTTCTTTTTCTGTTTCCTTAGATCCGTATCAGGTCCTGGGCCCAACCAGCAGTCGCCTAGCCAATCCTGGTGAGTTTACTTTGGCTTGAATGGATCTGTTTCTAGAATATTCCATACCTTTGTAAAGTCACAGAAACCTCTGCCCTAATTTCAGGTGGCCATTCAGAACCTGAGTGGAAAGTAACGGGTATTTCTTTTCTTAAAATATTCAATGTCTGTTTTTACAATGTACTAATGAGAGGTCATGGCTTCTTATAGGTGGTAAGAATGTCTATTAGCTGATCATGCCTCAGGAAAACAAACATATTAGCCCCACCTACTAGTAAATGACACAGGTAGAAATTTAGTGAAAAAGGTAGAATGGGCAAGAAGGGAACAATTTCAATGGGCTCTCACTTACCTTCCTCACACAAGGTATAAGTGAATAAATAAGCCAAAAGCATTTTATTCTTAACTTTAAAAGGATGGCAGAGTTATCCGGTTTATGAAAGAGGTCTATCCCTGAAATGTAACAGATAAATAAATTTGACCATTTATTTCAAGAGTTAATTATTAGACAATAAATTATAATACTTATGTATAACAATAACTATCATAAAAACAACTCAAGTGAATTTTTCTAAACCATCCCACTGAGCTAATGCTGCCTTCATCTCCAGGTTTATTCTTTAGTAGCAGACCGTTCCTGCCCAAAGAGGGAAAGGCCTCTGTTGCTATTGTTTCTCGCCCACATTCTCTGTTGAACGGAGAACTGAGAGCTGTGGGCCAAGCTTAGGACTCCCCTAAGGAGTGTTCCATGTCCTAACATCTGTGCCACATCTCCCTGGAAGCCTGACAGCATTCTCCTGGTCTCAACCCTCTCAAGTGCTCACAGGGAACACCTTGAGGATCTCACTTTAATCACTAAGTTGAGATTAAACAGTGATTAGGCCTTTCTAGAAGAGATTCCAAAATGTGTCAAAAAGGGGTGAGAAGTGACCCCCATCACACAGGTAGTTCTAGCAACCCAGCGCCTCATTACGCACACTATATTTTACCAGGACTTGGAACAAATTATCCCAAGATGGAAACTTGTTTGTTATGGCAAACTCGATGACAAACCCCCAAGCAAATCAAGGATGAGAGAAGGGGTTGCCTTGTGGTTTCTGACTATCCAAGGAAATGAAGCTTCTTGTCAAGGGCAAGATCCTTGCCTTTAAGAAACTGAATTCTGCCCCCTCCAAACCGAGAGTCTTGGGAACTCGCTGGTGGCCTAGGGCTAAGTCTCAGTGGTATCACTGTCACTGCTGCTGCCTGAGTTTGATAACAGCCAGGGAGCTGACCCACATATGGTACAGCAGACCTCTCCTACCTCGCCTGCTACTCCCCTCAGCAGTGTATTTCAGGAGATTTGCCTGTTCTGCTCCCCACTCTGTCTCTGGTGAATCCTCTCAACCCTTGTACCTCTGGCCTACACCCTAGTTCTTCTATGCATAAATAAAATTTTAAAAAATAATAAAATCTTTCAAAAAAAATAAAAAAACTGAGACAGTCTTTCTCTCCTTTGCCTCTCTGCCTGCAGGAAGTGGGCAGATTCAGCTGTGGCAATTCCTGCTCGAGCTGCTCTCTGACAGTGCCAACGCCAGCTGTATCACCTGGGAGGGGACCAATGGGGAGTTCAAAATGACGGACCCCGATGAGGTGGCCAGGCGCTGGGGGGAGCGGAAAAGCAAGCCCAACATGAATTATGACAAGCTGAGCCGGGCCCTCCGATACTACTATGATAAAAACATTATGACCAAAGTGCATGGGAAGAGGTATGCCTACAAATTTGACTTCCACGGGATCGCCCAGGCCCTGCAGCCCCATCCGACTGAGCCGTCCGTGTACAAGTATCCTTCTGATATCTCCTACATGCCTTCCTACCACACCCATCAACAGAAGGTGAACTTTGTCCCTCCCCACCCGTCTTCCATGCCGGTCACTTCCTCCAGCTTCTTTGGAGCAGCGTCACAATACTGGACCTCCCCCACGGGTGGCATCTACCCCAACCCCAATGTCCCCCGCCATCCTAACACCCACGTGCCCTCACACTTAGGCAGCTACTACTAGAAGCTTAATTATCGGTGGGCTTTAGCGGAAGCTCCATCACTCACGTTTCCTGGATCCCTTGAACTGTAAAGGACACATGTAACCTTGAAGAGAAAACAAAACTGGATGTTCTTTCTTGTTGGATAGAACCTTTGTATTTGTTCTTTAAAAAAAACAATTCTTTTTTTTCTTTTAATGTTGGTAACTCTTGCTTCCTCTCAAACAAAGAGATGGATAATTCATGGGCCAGTATGCCAGCTTGGATTCTCAATCTCCTATCATCTTGTAAGTTGAATATTTAGATTACTGGAATGGTTGTATCAAGATTCTGGGAAAGAAATTGTAAATTTTCTTTATATTTTTGTGATTCAAGCAATTTCTTATCAACACACGGGTCTCATCAGGGACCGTACGGGGTGCTGCATGATAAGGAATCCTGGACTTAACCAGATAATGTTCTGGTTTGAGAATTAGTGAAAATAGAGGCAGGAAACTGATGATCTTATTTTAACAGGAACTAATTCAGTGGATAGCAACTGGAACATTGGTAGGAAGGTCAGTGAAGTTTTCACCCAACTGGAATTTTAAGGAGAGAACACGTGTGTGTATTTAAGAAGTCGTGGGCATTGCAAAATCCCTTCCAGTGAGCAATACACTCTAGGCCAAACTATTTCCCTCTGGAAATAGTCAAAATATGGACTGATAAATTTTAATGCAAATGCTGACTTTCCTGAAAGACAGAGAATTAAATAACTATTTTTTTTTTTTATAATAATGACAGTGGGTCCCAGAACTTTGAAGAGTCTTAGGGATTTCTAAACACAAACAGATTCGCAAGCGCTGTGCGTTTGTCAGACTTTCAGTCCAGGCTCCATCAATCGGAAGGCAACTTTACTGTATAAATTATGGAGAGTTATTTTCCTATATCTCACAGTATTAAAAATAAATAATTAAAAAAGTAAAAAGAATAAATAAACGAGTTGACCTCGGTCACAAATGCAATTTTACTATCAAATCAGTCGTTGTTATTTTTTTTAATGTAATTTGTACATCTTTTGTCAATCTGTACATTTGGGCTGTTTGTACGTTTTTATAGCTGGTTTTTTAAAAGCATAATGTGACTATTGCAGAAAAGAAAACAGGACATTTAAGTCTCTGACTCACTAGAGAAAGAAGCACTGGTGCAGTTATTTAACAAGCCTGCGCAAGTAAGTAAAGGCAATCCACTGAAATCCTTAATGCTTTGGAGATGTTTGTAAATAACCATACTGCAATAATCAACATTGAAAAGGATGAGAGAACTTTCCTTTGTGGACACAAGGAATTTTCCCACCCCATATATGCAATATATTTTTTAGACATTAAAATATATATAATTTTGCAAGTAATCGTTGACTTTTTTAAAACTATATTAAGTGTTAAGCTGACAACTGTCTATGAAGACTGTGTTGTAAAATAATTTGACTAAATAAATTGTGCCTTGTCTCATAACTGAGAACACTGTTTTCTTATTTACCCCCAGTTAAGTCAAAGGTTTTTCCCAGGGAAAGTTACGTAACTACTGCAGTACAGTTGAAATTACAAAATCAGCATGGTTTTTATTGTGCTTGTATTAGTCAGGGTTCTACAGAGGATTGATGGCAATAAGAGATATAGGTAATAAGTAGATACCTATAGATACCCATACCTCTTAGGTAGATAGATAATAGACGCCGAGAGATTGGTAGAGATAGGTATCTCCTGGAGAACTAGATTGACTTTTTATGAAGCATTGCCTCGCAATTACAAAGACTGTAATCTATGTATTCTGCAAACTGATGACCCAGGAAAGCCAGTGATATAGTTCCAATCCAAGCCTGAAATCCTGAAAACGAAAGAGATTAGAGGTATATGCACCAGTCCAAAGACAGAAGACCAATGTCTCTCTCAAACTAGCAGGCAGGAAGCAAAGAGATGTATTCCTCCCCCATCTGCCTTTTTGTTCAGTTCATACCAACACTAGAAAGCCAACTTCATTGAGTGGACTGATTGCAATGCTAATCTCATTCAGAAACACCCAAACATACATACTCAGAGATGAGATTTAATCTGGATGCTTTGTGGCCCAGTCAAGTTGATATTAAAATTATGCATCACATTGTTGATGATGCTTATAGTGTCTCTCTCTCTCTCTCTTTTTTGTTTTTTGTTTTTTGATTTTTTGAAGTTATTTAAGTCTTCATCTAAGCCTTAAAAGGAATGATGGCCAAGTCTGTGGACAATCTATGTCCAGGAGCCAGAACAAAGCAAACAGCTCCGTCCAGGATGGATCTTGTCCATTAGGCTTTCCTCTGTGCATCCACCATGCATCTCAAATCCAATTGGCCATCCTCTTGATACTACAGCATCCTCTGTTCTATATCAGGGTTTTATGGTCCATAAAGATTTTTAATCTTCCTAAGGAAGACGCTTTCTTTAAATTGTGTCACTGTTAGTTTGTTTTCGTTTTCTTTATTTTATAATGAAAAGAATGAGTCCTGGAAAATCTTTGCTGCTGTGAGGAAGCAGAGTCTACAGCATTAGCAACCCTTTAGCCTTCCCTGCATGACATTGAGTACATTCTAGACATCTGAATTTAATGAGATGTGTTCCAGAATTTTGTGTTAAGCAAATTTCTCAACATATGCACATTGATTTACCAATCCTATACATAAAGTGTTACATTGCTGTTATTTATATTATAAAACAAACACAAAATAGAAATTTTCCAACAGTGAGTTAAAAATAAATTAGAACTGAAATTCTAATGTTATTTTCCTTTTTCCTGTCTTTCTTATCTTTCACATCTCTCCTAGCAATACTCAAAAAAATTGAACTTAAGAGGAATAAATGAATATGTATCATCTGTATTGTTTTCTAGTGACTTCTAAGAAAAGAGAAAACACAAGTAGTATTCGTGGCTCAAGTATAGAAAAACTAGGTAAAGTCTGTTGAACAGTCCAACTGGCTCCCTTTGCAATCTCCATTTCTACCTACCAATATTCCCAACAATTTTGAAAAACTTGAAGTATTCATTAGGAAAAATGGGGGCACATAATATTCACTTAGGGCACTAGGAATTGACCCCTACAAGAAACTTCCTTTATAAGTCCTATTCAAAAACTGGTTTCAAAATCTTAATGCTGTAGTGAAATCTTCCCTCTTGAATCAGGTTCCTAATGGCTCATTCCACAGTGAGGAAGCTGGGCCACCCCCCTAAAGGCCCGGGATGTTGTTTTCTCCTTCTAAGCAGTTGTACAAGTGGAAGGCTGGTATTTTGCCCCCTGTAATGTCCAGATTTAGGGTTCATTCACCTCTTCAAGGGCATTCGCTTGACTCATCACAGAGGACACACAGGGTTTTTGACTTCCTGGCTACTAGTCCAATATTTTCCCCACTCAACCCTTCTGCAGTCATGCCATGCACTTATTCAGTCAAACAAACCTTGCAAGTCAGGCAGAGAGGAGCATAGCAAGCCTAGGAGCCATTCTACTGGACTCATTCTTTCCAACAATTTAGAAAGATGGTCAAGAATACTTGGGAGCAGGTGGACTTTTTCTTTTTTTTTTTAGTGTCAATGAATATTGTTTACTCCCATCCAAATGAACATGTATTTTTAATATCTACTGTTTTCCAAGATTGTTAATGGTCAATGACTACTAGAAATTTAATAACATGTAAAAATAAATGTTATATGATTTCACCAATTATATCTACATGTAACTAAACAACAAATGTGTATGATGTTTATTTAGTCCAGAGGTAATACATAAAATGTGGGTCCTCAGATGGGGTATGGCTAGTTTAGATTCAGTAGCTCCCATAATACCAGATGGAACAAAAAAATCTGTCTACTAAGCCAAGGTGCTGCCAGGTCAGAGCAGAGGTTGGGGAAGAAATAAAATACAAAAGCAAAACACAGGTAATGTGTGAACAGTCTGTGGACTTGACTTCACACTCACTTCCTCTAATATCTCATCATTAAAAATAATGGAAAAGTCCCTCTGGAGCATGGTCCCTCTGTCACTCAGCCCTGTTTGCATACCCAGACAAGATGTGCTTCACCGCCATCAGCCATTGTGCTGGGCTTGTTCCCATCCCTCTCTCAGGAGGAGGCCGGTAAAAAAGAGTGCTGATGGGCCCTCCCTGATGGCACAATGGGTTAGGATGCAGCTCTGCAAGCTAGCCACAGCCACTTGAGTGTGAGTTCTATCCCCAGCCCTGCAGGTGACCCACATAGTGCAGCAGATCTCTCCTGTCTCACTGGCTGCTCTCCTCAGCAGTGTTCTTCGTTGATTTGCCTGTTCTGTTCCTTGGCAGTACCCGTGTTCTGTACGTATAAATAAGCAAATCTTTAAAAAAAAAAAGGGGGGGGGGAGGGTACTGACTACCAGAGAGAGGAGAGGGGAGACAGTAAAGAATTAGGGAGACCAAGGAAGAGGGCTAGGGTGGATAGTCAAAGGCTGTAACTCTTATCCAGAAAGCACATAGGGCTTTATATAGAAAACTACTGACACTGATACTGCCTGCCTTCAGCCAGAGACTCCATCTGAAGGATTATGAAAGGTCAGCTGATTTCAAGACTACAAATCCCAGGCTCCCCTGGGGGACAGACACTTCTGAGAGGAAGTGGGTTAGCCAGTCAAATCTCTAGGGTCTCAGCCAATTGAGAAAGAATATGCAGGGAAGCTTTTAAAAGGAATGCTGTCCACCGTGCCTGCCTGGAGTCTGTCTCCCTCTCTCACTCTTACTTGGCCTTCTGTCTAATTGTTTCAGTCTGTCTGAGCTGGTAAATTCCTAAGCACATAGTCAATTTACACTTAGCTTAAAAGCTCTAGGGGGAAGCAGAAAAAGTTTCCAGTGAGACCACTTGCTTACCTACATTGCTAAACTAACCTGAATTTAAACTGAGTTAGCGTATGTGTCTTCTTAGTGGGAGAAAGAGGCTACTAAGGTTGACAGATGAACAAGGATATAATTCTGGAGGCTCTTGGCTCAAATTCTGGTCCTTCTGTCTGCTGGACTGTGAAGGTGGTTGCTGAGTACTATCTCCTGTAAGAGTTCCTGTGAGGCTTTAGATGATGCGTGGAAAATCCTTTATGATGTGCTGTGCAGTAAATATATAGCTAATTGCTGTTATCTCTACTTATTCACTGGTTTTTTCCACAATCTTTTAAGTCCTTGGTAACTGAGGAGCACACTGTTTGGGGACTTCAGTTCGGTGTAGATTTTGTTTTGTGGTTAGAAAGGCATTTTCTGGATGAGTGAAAGGTGGAAGTAAATTGGATTTTCAGGGTGTACCATGTGTTCTCCACCCAAACCCTCCCCATGTTCCACTTGGGGTCTGGTCCTATGAACACTGACAGCCAGTAGGACCAAACTGCAGGATGCTGCAAATAAAATGAGAGTGTTGTGGAAGAATGCTGTGTGTGTATGTGTGTGTGTGTGTGTGTGTATGACCGGAACAGGGTCAAAGAGACCTGGAGACCAGGTTTCCCGGGCTCGGACTCAGTTGATAAATCACTCCTTGTGAGCTGATTTCCCATCTGTAAAATGAGGGTTACAGCCACAACTGTACAAAGTTTTCAGGTGAAGTAAGGAAGATAAATGCAAGCAAAAATGTTCTCTGTGTTTAAAAGAAGTAGGAAACACAAGCTACTGTCTTAGTTATAGGCAGCACCTCTCTAGCGCTTAAAACTCTGAACAGGTTTCTCTAATATCATAAAATAGACTTAAGCCACACCCCTCTGTATTTTTTTTAACTTTAAAAAATGGAATTTTTTTTTCTTTTAGTTTGAAAACTTAAATCACAAAATAGTATTTTGCAGTGAGCCAACAGAAGGGATATTGCCAACCTGATGCTTCTTCATACCCCATCTTACTGTGTTTCCTACAAACGTTTATGTCTCCTCCACAATCCAGTACATCATGAAAAATCAGAAAAGTAACCTGGACAGATAACTACTGTGTAATCCTCAAGGCACTTTTCTCTCCTTACTAATTGCTTATTCAATGTCTGTTGCAAGAGGTTGTCACTCAGAATCACATGTTGCATTAATAGCCATGCAGCTCTAATCTGGAAAATTCCCATGGTCTTTCCTCAACTTTCAGGACATTGACAACTTGGAATATTAGAGTCCAGATATTTTATAGAATTTGGAACTGTCTGCCATTTTCTCATACCTAGATCTAGGCCAGGTGAGAAGAACACAGAAGCGAGACTCCCTGCAATTCCCAGCAGCCTGCGGGTGGCACACAAATTTAACTTACTGTTAAATTATGTTCATTTTGAAGATTTGATTAAGCGTGTGGTGGCTGCCAGGCTTCACCACTGTAAAGCTTTCCCCCTTATAATTAATAAATATTTTGTGAAGAGGTACTTGCAAAGTATGTAAATATCCCATTTATCATCAAATTTCAATGTTTTCACTCATTTATTTTTATCTCCAAAGACTTGTGGTTGCCTATTT